TCTCAAAATGCTGTTAACATAATTTTTTCATTTTAAAACAAATTTTTTCTAAATTTAAATAGTTTTTCACAGAGAATGCCGATTATAATATAAATAAATATTTTTTAATTTATGAAAAACTAAACATTTTTCATATTTTTGTGAGTTTTTCTTTTTGAGAAAACAAAAATAAGAAAATAATTGTTACATTTTGTGAAAAAATTCCTAAAATGTAAACATGTAAACTGTAAAATGTAAAAGTCTTGATGAAAACACTTGATAAATTTGGAGACAAAAAGTTTTTTGAAAAACTCGTTAAATTTAGAGATTCTCTCTTTACATTTTTCATAATAAAAAGTACGTTTTTCATAATAAAAGAAATCTCTTCATTTAACGAGTTTCACAGAAATGTCAAGTTTTCTCTCTCAGTTGAACTGGTTTTCACAAAGACAGACATTTTACAGCAAAACCCAGCAAAGAATATCTGCATTGTTAGTAATTGACGGCGCTCTGATGATCAGCAGGAGTTCAGTAACCAGATAAAGAAAAGAGCTGAAGAGGAAATCAGAAACAACTGCTGAAACTCGGAGAGATCCAAACTCATGGACGTAAACGCAAGATGAAGAGGATCAGCTTTTATGAGGGGAAATAATGTGCGTGTGTGTGTGTGTGTGTGTGTGTGTGTGTGTATGTAAAAGTCAATGTCGGCAGGGTGAGAGTCTCGGGTCACTGCGACAGTTAACTAGAGAGAAACCGCTCACTTTCACACACACACACACACACATGCACAAAGTAACACACACACACACACACACTCACAAATATGCACACACAGATATTCACTCACAAATATGCACACACAGACATACAAACATGCACGCACAAACAAAGCAACTTCCAAAACAGCAGCACAAAGGGAAGAAATGAGTGCGTCGAGGATCTGTCCCGTGTATGATTGAGCCTTCTCTGATTTAAATGGCACCCAGGTTACCCTTTTTCCAGATTTAATATAAGTCTGTTGTGTCTCCAGAATGTGTCTGTGCAGTTTCAGCTCTAAACACCCATCAGATTATTGATTATGGCTTTCAGTAGTTTGTATTTTTTAGATCTAAAGAGCTTGTTGCTGTTTCTGTGGCCTGTGCCTTTAAGCCTAGTCCTCTCCGCCCACCGTTCCCACGTGCCTGTCAGCGTGCCTCAATCTCCGCCTCGGCTGCCTCAGACAACAGTCAGACATGAAGGATAATCACGCGTAACATTTGTGAGAAATACAGTCAGAACTTTCCCAATGATTATTTGATGTATTTGTTGTGGAGTCGAGTCACACACAATGTCGTTACAAAGTTACACTGTCATTACAAATGTAATATAAATGTCATTACAGCGTGCGCATTTAGCTTTGCACTCTTTTTGCACGCATATGTGTCAGGATACAGGTTAATCTCCGCTGCTGTGTGGATATCTGTTATGTTAATGTACAGAATAAATCTGATTTATCGTCCACAAACCGGGATTGAAGCGTCTTCCTTTATAATTGTTCTGACATGCAGCTGTGCTGATGAAGTAAAGCTGAAGTAAATCGCTGTACTTCATTACACACGTGCTCTGTTTAAAACATGTTGTGAAACTCTCTCTTGATCACATTTGATTACGATTGATGATCCGAGCAAACTGAACAGAGCTTTTATTCCCGGTCGCGCACGTCCTGTCATTATTCATAGCGAACACAGAGTCCTGTGCATGAAAATAAATGTTTTACAGTGTCAGTTGAATATAATGCAAGAAGAAATCTGATAATGTCTGATAATTTTACCAGTGAAAACAAATGGCCTAATAATGCTGACAATGACAGATGACAAGCACATGTCTCAAACACACAGGGCTCTATTTTGACGGTCCATGCGCAAAGCGCAAAACGCAGGGCGCAAATGCTTTCAGGGCGTGTCAGAATGCAGTTTTTGCTAATTTAAGGACGGGAAAATCTGCCTTGCGCCATAAAAGGGTTGAGTTTATTTTCTTAATGAGTTATAGGTGTGTTTAGAGAATAAACCAATCAGAGTCTCATCTCCCATTCCCTTTAAGACCCAGCTGCGTCACGCCAAGAGCACATTCGCTATTTACAGGACGCAAAGTAAGTCTAAGTGGAAAAATATGCACATTTCACCAGCAAACAGTTCACAGTTTATTAACAGAAAACAGGTAAACAGAGCATCTACTGCATGAGAATGAGAGATAATGGATCACTTTCACTTTCGCTCGTGGATAGGGAAACCTTTACGCACAGACATCAATTAGTCTATAAATAATTAATTTTGTTTGTTAAGCACAAATATTCGTTTCAAAACTATTTCTAAATTCAGTTCTAATTTCCAGCAAACGAATAAATGAACAATAATAATGAAGTGTGCTCAAAAACCTGAGTTATATCCTAAAACACATGCTGTGCCCCATATGATCTAAAACCTGACAGGTGGACAAATCTAAGCTTGTTTTTAATAAAACAAATATAAATATGGATATAATCAATAATACTGCTAATAATAATAACATTATACAAAAGCAAATAGTCATGAATGAACTGAAAAAGCCTCCCGAGATGAAGAAGACATAAAAGCAGTGATTTTTCATATTTATGTAGGCTAGAAAATAATATGTTCTGTAATATTTTAATCCTTTATATTTATATCCTATATCTATTCTTATTATATCCTATATATATCCTTAATATTTACGTTTTTTCATATGTAAAGATATTTGCCTATTGCTCTCTTGTGTGTATTAAGCAGTGTGTAAGCGAGGCGCAACTCTGCGCTGGAGTTTAGACCGGGTTAGTTTTGGTATAATGAAAAATCTATTATAGTTTCTCAGAAAAGCAACGCGCCAGCGGTCCGCCTCAGAACGCCTCCTTTTTAGAGCAGAACGCCTATGAGCACACATATGAGCGCTAATGCATTTGCTATTTAAACAGCGTAGCGCAACGCCTCAAAACCACTCTTGCGCCAAGCTGAAACTAGCAAAAGACTACTGCGCCACGCCTTGCGCCACACTGCGCCGGGTGTATGATAGGGCCCAATAATTCAACTTTATCATTAGGAATAGTTGTATTTAGATGTCATCATTTTACTGTGAATTAACAAACAGGACATATTGAAAGTCTGTTCAAGTCCACCATAATGACTGTACAAAATTTACCAACAGTAGAGCTACACACAGACCTGATATTATTAGTATTGTTTTACCATACCGTCACTTTAGAATTATAAGCTTCTATCTGACATTATTGTCAAAATTGAGTTATTGACATATTCTTATTAAATGACATCTTACTAGGGATGTAGCAATATTGTAAATATTGTCATACCGCAATAGTAATTGTTTTCAATATTAGCGTCGGCGCATGACTCAATAAAACTATATTTCTGAGAAAAGTTTGCTCAGGCGAATGAAGTGAACGGGAGGAAGCGGGAACTACAATTCCCATCAGCCCAGGCGTGGCCATCATCCTTTGCGGTCTGTTGTCGCTACAGATCCAGTAATGCGGAAATGGAGTGTGCTGCTAGTAGCGGGGAAGAAAAAGAGCTGGAAATGATCGAACCTAAAGCGGGTTTTAAATCGGATGTGTGGAAGCATTTCGGTTTCTTTCTAAAAAGATACGAGAAAGGAGAAAAGGTGACAGACAAAGACAAAAACAGAATGCAGGCGCTGCCAGACTGTGGTGAAATATAAGTCGGGGAACACGACTAATAACAGTCATGGGGACTGCAGAACACAGCACACTGTTCAGATTATCATAAACTATCATACACCCGGCGCAGTGTGGCGCAAGGCGTGGCGCAGTAGTCTTTTGCTAGTTTCAGCTTGGTGCAAGAGTGGTTTTGAGGTGTTGCGCTACGCTCTTTAAATAGCAAATGCATTAGCGCTCATATGTGCGCTCATAGGCGTTCTGCTCTAAAAAGGAGGTGTTCTGAGGCGGACCGCTGGCGCGTTGCTTTTCTGAGAAACTATAATAGATTTTTCATTATACCAAAACTAACCCGGTCTAAACTCCAGCGCAGAGTTGCGCCTCGCTTACACACTGCTTAATACACACAAGAGAGCAATAGGCAAATATCTTTACATATCAAAAAACGTAAATATTAAGGATATATATAGGATATAATAAGAATAGATATAGGATATAAATATAAAGGATTAAAATATTACAAAACATATTATTTTCCAGCCTACATAAATATGAAAAATCACTGCTTTTATGTCTTCTTCATCTCGGGAGGCTTTTTCAGTACATTCTTAACAATTTGCTTTTGTATAATGTTATTATTATTAGCAGTATTATTTATTATATCCTTATTTATATTTGTTTATTAAAAACAAGCTTAGATTTGCCCACCTGTCAGGTTTTAGACCATATGGGGCACAGCATGTGTTTTAGGATATAACTCAGGTTTCTGAGCACACTTCATTATTATTGTTCATTTATTCGTTTGCTGGAAATTAGAACTGAATTTAGAAATAGTTTTGAAACGAATATTTGCGCTTAACAAACAAAAGTATTTATTTATAGACTAATTGATGTCTGTGCGTAAAGGTTTCCCTATCTAAGAGCGAAAGTGAAAGTGATCCATTATCTCTCATTCTCACGCAGTAGATGCTCTGTTTAACTGTTTTCTGTTAAAAAACTGTAACTGTTCACTGTTTGCTAGTGAAATGTGCATATTTTTCCACTTAGACTTACTTTGCGTCCTGTAAATAGTGAATTCGCTCTTGGCGTGACGCAGCTGGCTCTTAAAGGTAATGGGAGATGAGACTCTGATTGGTTTATTCTTAAAACACACCTATAACTTATTAAGAAAATAAACTCGACCCTTTTAGAACATGTGCCACGGCGCAAGGCAGATTTTCCCGTCCTTAAATTAGCAAAAACGTGTTCTGACACGCCCTGAAAGCGTTTGCGCCCTGCGTTTTGCACTCTGCGCATGGACCGTCAAAATAGAGCCCATTGAGTTCACTCACAGAACTCAGTGTTTTTTTGTTCCTCTTATAATGGCCGAGTCTGCCATTATGATGACTCTAATCTGGAGATGCTTTTACCGCTGTATTGTTGTAGTCTGCTCACCTCTTGTATATCTTGAAGTGCTGGAGCTGTTCACAGATCAGTTTGAGGTATCTCTGTTTGGGCAGTCGAGACAGAAGCGTCTTCACACTGATGTTGAACTGCTCCTCGCCGTCAAACTGAGCACACAAACACACACGATGATTACTGAGCGCTATAAACACATCACAACATTTATATCCATTACAATATCTCGTTTTCAACACACTGTACATCCTATTCTGTTTCAGAAAGTTGCCAAATCCCCTTTTCATTTATAAACCTGATGTATTAAACCCAAAGTCAAAGCAATAAAAAAACATGTCATATATTTGAGAAAATGACATTTAAAACATTATTTAATATGAATTATTTCTAATTTTCATTAAAATGTAAAAAAAAATGACAGTAATGTGACACTTTGAATGTACTAGAAATAAAATAAACTATAAAATAATAAAGTAAAAGAATATAAAAAAATAGGGCGTCACGGTGGCGCAGTGGGTAGTTAATGTTGAACCGCACGCTTCCATCCAAAATTAATCCAGTTACCGACCGCTCCCGCGCTTTATTCGGAAATTTATTACTGTGCCGAAGAAATCCGGTCGGGTCCTGCGTCTCCCGCGGTACCGCCGCGGGAATCAATTTCCGAATAAAGCGCGGGAACGGTCGGTAACCGGTTTAATTTTGAACTGGAGTGGGCAGTTCAACAATATCGCTCCCGACTCCCGAGCGAGCGAGCACGCAAATGTATGTGTGTGAATGAGACAGCTGCTGCCTTTAGCTTGTTTTTTGTGTGTGTGTGTGTGTGTTTGTGTGTGTGTGTGTGTGTGGTTGTGTGTGTGTTTGTGTGTGTGTGTGCGAATTAGAGGTTTGTGTGTTTGTGTGTGTGCGCGCGAGAATTAGAGGTTTGTGTGTGTGTGTGTGTGTGTGTGTGTGTGTGCACGCAAATGAGAGAGAGAGCTTTGTGCTGTGTGTGTGGTGATGCCTATATGTGTGTGTGTGTGTGTGTTACTTGCTTGGTGCTTGTGTGTGTGTCTGTTTATACAGACAGCTTGTTATAGGCTGGTCTCTGTATCGCTGGGTGGTTTTCGGTTTTGTTCTCCCCCTCGTTCGTTAGCGGGAACGGGTGCAGCGGGTAGAAAACAGGGCGGGTCGAGAAGCGGGACAACAAATGATAAATATATGCGGGAGCGGTCGGGTTTGGGCTAAACCTGGTGGGAGCGGGATTCAAAATTAAGTCCCGCGCAGATCTCTACCTCACAGTAAGAAGGTCGCTGGTTCGAGTCTCGGCTGGGTTAGTTGCTGTTTCTGTGTGGAGTTTGCATGTTCTCCCCGTGTTGCCGTGGGTTTCCTCTGGGTGCTCCGGTTACCCCCACAGTCCAAACACATGCGCTTTAGAGGAATAGTAGGCTAAATTGTCTGTAGTGTATGAGTGTGTGTGGTGTGTTAATGAGAGTGTATGGGTGTTTCCCATTACTGGGTTGAAGCTGGAAGGGCATTCCCTATGTAAAACATATGTTGGATAAGTTGTCGGTTATGCTGTGGCGACCCCAGATACAAAGGGAGAACATGCAAACTCCACACAGAAACACCAACTGACCCAGCCGGGACTCGAACCAGAGACCTGCAAGTATTTCCCAGACGCACATAACAATAGGTGGATGGAAACACAGCTAATATTTGCTCCCCATGCTCAGGCCGAGGGTTTCCCTGTATCCGGCTGTCACCATTCACACACACACACACAGGATCCCCTTTCCTGCTGGTTTTCCACTGGAATGCCATTTATTTACTCAGAATAGCTGATAATAATAGCGGGCGGTACAGACCTCCAGGGACAGGAAGTTGATGAGTGTTTCCTTGGGCAGATCGACCTGCGGAGGAATGTGACACACACATACACACACACTGTTATCAGCAGAAACACACAGTCAACAGGAAGTGCTCTGGACATCTGACCTTTTCCAGCTCATGCATCCAAACAATCCTTCAGTAAATCACCACAGCAGATGAACGACTGAACGCGAGACGTGTTTTCAGCAATATTGAGTCATGAGAGTCGGAAAACTCAACAAACATGATGGAGGATCTCATACACTGTAATAAATGCTGGCTTGCACACAGTTGCTTCATGCTGTCTTGACACAAATTGATTTTTAACTTAATTATTTTTTTACAAATTTAAGTGGAATGAAGATAAAATAATTCAGTTGTCCCCACAAAAACCCCCAAGAATTGTGTTGATTCAGCGCATTTTAAACAAGCAGCGGAAAAACCTTTGTTGATACTTCAGAAAAGCACTGATATTGTTATTTCTGTCTTTAGTAATTGTAGATTGAGCTAAAATATTTAGTTATTTGTAATCACAAAACACTAAAGACAACATTTAATGCCATTATGAATTAATGACTTGTATATTTTCTTAAAGTGCTGTGAAATGATTCATCGTGATAAGAAATTGGGCAAAAATTACGACTTGCACTACCGGATTAAAAAAAAAAAAACAGCTAAGATCAGCTTCTGCTGCTCACCAAGGCTGCATTTATTTCATCATAAATACAGTACAAACAGTAAAATAGTGAAATGTTATTGCCTTATAAAATAACTGTTCAAAATTAGATTATCATTTAATTTAATCGTTTATTCCAGGGATATATTGATGAATTTCAGCTTCATCAGTCCGTCTTCAGTCACATGATCCTTTAGAAATCACTCTAATATTCATTATTATTTTTGTTATAATAATAATAATAATAATAATAATAATAATAATAATTCATTTTATTTATAAATGGCGCCTTTTTAGACACCTCACAATAAGCATCAGCAGAAACATTACTAAAAACAATCACTGACCAGACAAGTTAAAACACAATAGCGAATATAAAAGAACAACAAAAACATGATAAAAAAATGTTAAGTAAAAGCCTGCTTAAAAAGATGGGTCTTTAGACGGGATTTATAAGTGTGAAGACTAATCACTGCTCCTAAGATCTTGGGGAAGGGAGTTCCATAGCCGAGGAGCCATAGAGCTGAAGGATCTGTCTCCCATTGTGCTCAATCGAGTGCGAGGTGGTGCCAGGGTGGAGTTGAGGCTGATCTAAGTGTAGGTGAGGGGGTGTAGATATGGAGAAGTTCGGTAAGATATTGAGGAGCGAGATTATGAAGTGCCTAAAAGTTAGAAGTAATATTTTAAAGTCAAAACGATATCTTACTGGAAGCCAGTGGAGCTGATAGAGGAGTGGTGTGACGTGCTCGTGAGATGGGGTCCTACAGATGACACGAGCTGCATGGTTCTAAACCAGTTGGAGTTTACAGAGAAGTTTGGAAGGAAGTCCAGAAAGAAGTGTACTGTATTACAGTAGTCAAGACGTGAAGTAACTAATGCGTGGATGAGAATTGCTGTGTGATTGGTTGTGGGAGAAGAGCAGAGACGAGTGATGTTACGCAGGTGGAAATATGCAATACGTGTAATATTACGCAGGTTATTATTATTGGTCATAGTAATAAAAGCAATAATGACTGGAGTACTAGAATATTTTCATTTAAAATTACATACAATAAGTAATAAATAAATATTAAATAAATAAATAAATATTAAATAAATAAAGCATTTAACAATTTTTTTACATTTAATAAATGCCGGCTTGATGAAGAGAAACATTTTATTAAAAAAACATTTAAAAAAATAAACAACCCCAAACTTTCGACCAGTATTGTATGTTTGTGTACTGAGAATACTGATGATGCGTGTATAAACACACACGTGCGCACCTGACCATGTGTTTTTGTGTCACTTTATACCGTCAGATTCAATGGATCGCGCACCAAAGTTCACTTCAGACAGTTTCAGTCTCAACAAGCTCCTCAGAAACTCTTCCTCTTCTATTTCTTCCTCTGTTTGTTATTCTTCTTCCTCTATTTCTTTCTCTTCATCCTCTTGTTCCCTTTTCTTTTCTTCTTCTTTTCATCCTCTTCGTCTTTCTCTTCTTCCTCTATTTCTTCCTCCTCTTCTGCCTTTTTTTGTTCGTCTTTCTTCCTCATCTCCTTGCTCTTTTTTCTCTTCCCTTTCTTCTACATCTCTTTTTACTCTTTATTTTTTCCTCTTCTTCTTTCACTGTTTCTTCCTTCTCCTTTATTTCTTCCTCCTCAATTCACTATTTTTCCTCTTTGTCTTTCTTAGTATTTTTGTTTTCTTTTCTTCTTTCCTTTTCTTTCCCTTCTTCCCCTTCTTCATCCTCATCCTCCTCTCCCTCTTTGTCCTGTTCCATTTCTTCCTCTTTTTGTTCTTGTTCCTGTCTTTCTTTCTCTTCATCTTCTTGTTCCCTTTTCTCTTCTTCCTCTTGCCTTTTTGTTCCTGTCTTTCTTCATCTTTTTCTTCCTCTTTCCTTTTCATCTCTTATTCTTCCTCCTCCTCCTCCTCTTCTTTTTAGCTTTCTTGCTCTTTTGTTGTTGTTGTTCTTCCTCTATTTCTTCCTCCTCCTCTTCTTTTTCCTGCTCTTTTTCTTCTTATTCTCCTTCTTCCTCTTTTTCTTTCTTCATCTTCTTTCCTCTCTCTCTTTTCTTTATCTCTTATTTTCCCTCTTCTTATTATTTTTCTTGTTGTTTTTCTTCTTTCTCCATTTCTTCCTCCTCTTCTATTTCTTCTTCCTCCTTTTCTTCTCTCAATCATCCTTATCCTCCTCTTTTGCCTGTTTTTGTTCCTCTGTCTTTCTTCGTCTTTTTCTTTCCTCTTCTTCATCTCTTATTCTTCCTCCTCTTCTTCTTTCTAGTTTTCTTCCTCTTTTGTAGTTGTTGTTCTTCCTCTATTTCTTCCTCCTCCTCTTCTTTTTCCACCTCTTTTTCTTCTTATTCTCCTTCTTCCTCTTTTTGTTCCTTTTTGTCTTTCTTCGTCTTCTTTCCTTTCCATTTTCTTTATCTCTTCTTTTTCCTCTTCTTATTTTTCTTTTCTTGTTCTTCTTTCTCTATTTCTTCCTCCTCTTCTATTTCTTCTTCCTCCTCTTCTCCATCCTCCTCTTCTTTCTCTTCATCTTCCCCCTCTTCTCCTTCTTCCCCTTATTTTGCCTGTTTTTGTTCCTCTGTCTTTCTTTCCTCTTCTTCATCTCTTATTCTTCCTCCCCCTCTTCTTCTTATTTTGTTTCCCTTTTTGCTTGTTCTTCCTCCTCCTCTTTCTCTTCTTCTTCTTCCTCCTCTTTCTCTTCTCGCTCTTCCTCCTCATTCTCCATCTTCTCTTGAGTTTCCTCTGAGAGACAGAGTCTGATCTACAGTCATCTACTGAAGCGAGCGAGCGAGTCTCAGTCTGCAGTTTGTGTAATAGTGTGTAATAACAGAGCGCAACACCAAACCACTTCATTATTACCCACAAAGCCACTAATTAACTAAATATGCAGGCCGTGTAAATCAGCGTGAGGAGTGTTCCTGACAGCAGATCAGCACACAAACACTTGCAGAGTCACAATCTGCTTTCTTCACTTTCCTTCATTTTTAGACGTTAACTTCGGCGCCTGCATCACATTAAACTGACTTTGCAGACACCGAAATCATCTAACATGATTCACGTAGCTCTAAAAAATAAAAACATGAACTTAAATGTAAAAATGAGGGTCTTTCAGCGTTCAAAAAAAGTCATTACTGACTAATTACATCTGTATTTAAATGACTTTGCTGATTACTTCATCTGAAAAGTGACCAAGTTATTCAATAAGTCATTAAATCACTCGGCTAAACACTGATCCACATACACCTCAATGCAGAGACTATAGAAATTACACTAATACAGGATTATTAATACAGAATTACACTAATACAGACTGTTATGAATACAAATTTTAGGTTTATTCAGGCATAGCGTTTAAAAAGCTGCAAAGATCAACTGGTTTGTTTATTAGCTGATGAATCGACTGATCTTCACAGCTTTTAATCTCTCCTGTGTCCCTGTATTTGTGTTTACACTCAGTAAACAGCGGTGAGTTTGGTGAACTGATGACCTTCACGACCAATCACAGGAGCACGTGAACACAATGGCAAATCAGCCACGTTTAAGAACGTGATCGACAGCGCTAAAATGTTAGCGGGAAATGGACGTTTTTACAATTTTTGTACAAATTGGTACCGAATTCCAGTATCGTGACAACACTAGCTTTATTTGAACAGAGGGAAATTAAGCCCTACAACACCCCATTTCCGTGAATTTAAAGGCCCGTGCACATCGAGACATTTTTTGCTCATGTTTTCCGTCGACGTTTAACGCCTCGTGACTAAATAAAGGGGGTCAATGTGATCATGCACACCAACGCTCAAAATGGCAGACGCAAAAGCGTTATTTTAAAAAACACCTCATGTTCGTTTTTTTTTGTTTTGACATGCTGCATCAAAACCTTCTCCACCAATCAGATCTGCACTTTTGATCATGTGCAAGGAGCTGCTGAAGTGACAGTAAACAGCACCTGGAGGTGCTCAAGCGCAAAACTGTCAATGCGAGCGCACATTGAAGAAGACGCCCAGAGGCGATATGAACGTGAAGCTGCTTAATGCTCTGTGAACAATAATCATTTCATCATCGCTAAAGCTGCAGCTTGAACCATTCATGCTTGTTCGAGTCACCAGTAACTTCACTGCATTTCGTTGCATTGTACTTGTACATGTGTAATGACAATAAAGTTGAATCTAATCTAATCTAACTTGAACAACAAGCGTGTCAACTTTCTGTCTTCCTCTTTTGCTGTGTTACAAGCGGATGTCAGAAGCTTAAAGTTGTGTAACGCCATCTAACATCAAGGAGTGATTTTGCATCCTCTTCTGCTCGACGCCAGTGAAAATCGCTTGGGTTTAAATACGGAAAAACGTCTCGTAAAACTCTCACCATAAACGCAGACGAAAAGCGTCGTGGTCTGTACGAGTCTTAAGACTTTTTAAGGCCTAAATTTTAGTTTTTGCACTTAATGAAATTTTAATTTAACCAGGATCTTTTAGTTTTAGGAATTAACACTTAATCTAAAAGGAAACATGCATTAAAACATAAAACGTTTCAAAGTAATGACACCAGCTTTCATACATATACGGTTGAGGTCAGAATTATTAGCCCCCCTGTTTATTTTTTCCCCAATTTCTGTTTAACAGAGAAAATATTTTTTTAGCACATTTCTAAACATAATAGTTTTAATAACTCATCTCTAATAACTGATGATGACAGCACATAATATTAGACTAGATATTCTTCAAGACACTAGTGTTCAGCTTAAAGTGACATGTAAAGGCTTCACTAGGGTAATTAGGGTAAAGTTAGGGTAATTAGGCAAGTCATTGTATAACAGTGGTTTGTTCTGGAGACAACCCAACACTAATATTGCTGAAGGGGTGAATAATATTGACCTTAAAACAATTAAATTTGCTTTTATTCTAGCCGAAATAAAACAAATCAGACTTTCTCCAGAAGAACTAATATTAGAGGAAACACTGTGAACAATTCCTGAATCTGTTCAACATCATTTAAGAAATATTTAAAGAAGAATAAAAAATTTCAAAAGGAGGTTAAAAATTCTGACTTCAACTGTGTGTACAAATATATATATATTAGCATAAACAATATATTAATCCAATTGTTGGTAATACTTTATAACTACACAGTATAAATCATTTATTAAGCATTAGCATCTAGTGAATTCATTATCTGTTAAGCATTATCTCTACATTAATAAACGTTAGTAAACAGTTTATAACTGCAGCTACAAATGCTCTATTCTTGACTTATAAGCACATTTAAAATGTGCTTAATAATTGTATTTTCATACTTAGTAAATGATCAATTTTTTATTACTAAATTAAGTATTGCATTATTTACAAACCAGTTGTATTTAAGAGTAGTTGAGGGTTTTTAGGATCATTCAGAATGAGTTAGTAAATGATTAATAAACTATTGAAATCAACATTTATATGTCTTATTATTCAGGCATATACTAATAGTCAACTAATATGTTAATAAATGCTTTATTAATTCAACCTTATGCAGTTTTGTGACCTAATCTAAAGTGAGGACTATTCATGCTTTATAAATCCCTTATAAATGACTATTACAGGCTCAGAATCAAATGAACTATAATCTTTGCAATCTTTTTTAAAATGTAAAATTACTGTAAAGTTTAAACATTGCTGAATAACAGGAGTGTCAAAATACAACAAAACTGGATAAAACAACAATATAATAATTAAACAATATAATAAGATGCACTGTTTAAACTCTACAGTGATTTTATTTTAGATCAGGTTGCAAAGATTTATTTTTTATTTGAAGGACAGTTTTATTTGTGTATCTTTAAATGAATAGTTATGAATAATGTTGTTTTTCCTGTTTAGAATTTAACTGAGCCTGTAATAGTCATTTATAAGGGATTTATAAAGCATGAATAGTCCTCACTTTAGATTAGGTCACAAAACTGCATGAAGTTGAATTAATAAAGCATTTATTAACATATTAGTTGACTATTAGTATATGCCTGAATAATAAGAGATATAAATGTTGATTTCAATAGTTTATTAATCATTTACTAACTCATTCTGAATGATCCTAAAACCCTCAACTACTCTTAAATACAACTGGCTTGTAAATAATGCGAAACTTAATTTAGTAATAAAAAATTAATAATTTACTAAGTATGAAAATACAATTATTAAGCACATTTTAAATGTGCTTATAAGTCAAGAATAGAGCATTTGTAGCTGCAGTTATAAACTGCTTACTAACATTTAATAATGTAGAGTTAATGCTTAACAGATGATGAATTCACTAGATGCTAATGCTTAATAAATGATTTATAGTGTGTAGTTATTATAAAGTGTTACCCAATTGTTTACTAAATGCATGCAGTTGTCGGACAAATAAAAGCTTATTTAGGTAATATATTAATCTAATTTGCAATTATTATAGTCTAGTTAACATCCAAATATATGAACACAAAAAAATGCCTCAATCGGTTTATAGCTTACAGGGTCATGAACTCATTTCTCAATGAATATTTTACTAAGCATATGCATTTGTCTTAAAAAATAATTGAATTTATTGAGTTAAAAACTAAATAAAATTGCTCTGCTTCACTGAATTGATGCAAAACCTTTTAATGTATGTACAGTATTTAAGCAAGTTATGATTTTTCAGAATTTTTTAAACTCTTAATGTTCATTTATTACACAACAAATCAGGGTTATGTGAATAATCAGTAAGTATTTTTGTGTTGTGCCTCATGTTTGCATGTATTTGAGCATTTGGGTGCAGCTGGAGCTAAAATATGACTTTAGGTGTGTGTTCTGTGCATTTCGGAGGCTAAGCGTGCTAATAAATCAAGCACAATGCTGTGAACGGCACTGATTGCCACATGACAGTGAATGCAGACTGCTGGAAAGGGAAGCAGGATTTGATGCAATAATCATTTGACCTCTATTATTGTTTTTTTTCATAATTATTGGAAGCCATAATCCAAATGTGTGCATATTTATATAGATATTTTAATATTGAATAATTTCACAGCGCAATGCTGACAATAATGAATGATGAGAAATGAGCTAAGAGCTACTTAAGCCGTCTTGTGAAACTGCCTTCATATCGCAGAAAAATAAAACAGATATGGTGCAGCTGTAATCTGAGAGAAGGAAGTGACATCATGTACTCACGGCCAGCACTTCGATGTCGCTGCTCCTGTTCTGCAAGCTGTTGCTCAGATTCTGCAGTCGTGTCTGGATCTGAAAGATAATCAGAAATATAAAGGATGTTTAATGGTTTGTCATGAACATGAGCACTTGAGTTAACACACAAATACGACTCCAGTAAATGTAATAACTACTGCTTTACAATTGCATTTAGTCAAAGTATTGAACGTACTTATCAATGAATGTTTATTTTGCAACAACCTTGCATTACCACCAGAAGTCATAGTCAGTCATAATTTATGACAAATCAAGTGTGCAAAGAACTAAGAGTTCATATACTAATCACAACAATAAAGAACGAAGAAATGTGTGCTGACAAATATAAACAATAAAAAAAACTGTGTACTTCTTGAACATTTTTACACACATTGTTGTAGTATTGCAGTTTTGTTTACAGGAGACTCATTCTGAATGGATCATTTGAATCAATGAGTTGTTTACTGGAGACTCACTCTGAACAGCTCATTTGAATCAGTGAGTTGTTTACTGGAGACTCACTCTGAATGGGTCATTTGAATCAGTGAGTTGTTTACTGGAGACTCATTCTGAACAGCTCATTTGAATCAGTGAGTTGTTTACTGGAGACTTGCTCTGAATGGATCATCTGAATCAGTGAGTTGTTTACTGGAGACTCATTCTGAATGGATCATTTGAATCAATGAGTTGTTTACTGGAGACTCATTCTAAACAGGTCATTTGAATCAGTGAGTTGTTTACTGGAGACTCATTCTGAACAGCTAATTTGAAGCAATGAGTTGTTTACTGGAGACTCATTCTGAACAGCTCATTTGAATCAGTGAGTTGTTTACTGGAGACTCATTCGGAATGGATCATCTGAATCAGTGAGTTGTTTACTGGAGACTCATTCTGAACAGCTCATTTGAATCAGTGAGTTGTTTACTGGAGACTCATTCTGAACAGCTCATTTGAATCAGTGAGTTGTTTACTGGAGACTCATTCTGAACAGCTCATTTGAATCAGTGAGTTGTTTACTGGAGACTCATTCTGAACAACTCATTTGAATCAGTGAGTTATTTACTGGAGACTCATTCTAAACAGCTCATTTAAATCAGTGAGTTGTTTACTGGAGACTTGCTCTGAATGGATCATCTGAATCAGTGAGTTGTTTACTGGAGACTCATTCTAAACAGGTCATTTGAATCAGTGAGTTGTTTACTGGAGACTCATTCTGAATGGGTCATTTGAATCAGTGAGTTGTTTACTGGAGACTCATTCTGAACAGATCATTTGAATCAGTGAGTTGTTTACTGGAGACTTGCTCTGAATTAATCATTTGAATCAGTGAGTTGTTTACTGGAGACTCACTCTGAATTAATCATTTGAATCAGTGAGTTGCTTATTGGAGACTCTGAACGTATCATCTGAATCAGTGAGTTGTTTACTAGAGACTCACTCTGAATTAATCATTTGAATCAGTGAGTTGCTTATTGGAGACTCACTCTGAACGTATCATCTGAATCAGTGAGTTGTTTACTGGAGGATCACTCTAAACTCTGGGTAAAAGTTTCCATGTAAAGTTCATTGTGTGTGTATGTGTGTGTGAGCTCATGCTGACCTGTGTCTCGTATCTCCGCCTGGAACTGGCTGAGATCTTCTCTGGAGTCACCAGGTTCACATTCATGGACATAAGGCCGCTGCTGCAGTGTGAATCACACACACCTGACACACAATAAACAAACAAATAAACACACACACACACACACACACACTCAAAAAGATTCATATGTTCATCTCAGTTCTGTCAGTGTTTGAGTCAGAGGTAGGGATGTAATGATTCACAGTGAGTCAGAAAATGACATCAAATACATGATGATTCAAATCAGTCGGGGTGTTAAACCAATCACATTAACATGTTTAGAAGAGCAGAGAGCGGTGTGTTTACTGCACTGCAATAATGACTGATGACACTTGCACTTGGCTCCTGGGTGTGTGATAGGGCCCTTAATGTTTTGCCATATTTCTGAAGCTTGCTGTGTGATAAAACACAAGAGAAGTGCACCTGAGTTTCCCAGTACTGATCCCTTTGGGTTCTGTAGAGACGCGCTCTCAGATATCTCTCTGATGAAGGACAGAAGAGCGTTAGCAGAAGTCAACAACACAACTAATACTGCATCACTAGCTGTGTTCCCATACACCTATCTTTATAGAAATATAAAACATGCTCAATGGACACCAATACAATCTGAAAATATGCATACAAAGCATATGAGCATAACTGAGAATGATTCTTCACAGCAAACGTAAACAAACTGTAGCAGAAATTTTGCACACAGCGTGCCTCCACAATAAAACCAGGACGGAAAATTGTTCTGACATTTCCCCGCGCTCATTTGAATTGTTGCATGGATTGCGTCATCAGATTCTGTGCTCTGATTGGTTCTCGGATGGACGCTCATCACTGCTGTTGTCACACTGGAGGAAAGCGTCTGAAATCTTCTGACTCCAAGTCTAATTCACATCTTAGGATGGAAACACAGCTAGTAGACAACAAAGCAACCCAACAGAACCCTCACATCACCTGTTTCTCTCCTCAGAGAGTTTGGTCCGGCTCTTCTGGATGAAGTGATCCACCAGATCCGACTCGGGAATTCTTTTCTCTGACTGACGGTCCTTCTCAAAAGACTTCACCTGATGGGAAACACACATATTTCAGTACTTTAAATAGACTTACTTGTGATGTGCTTGCCTTAAATACTGTATATGAGTTGAACAGGTGTGTATAAATCAATTCAGAGAAGCAGAGACACAAATATTTAGCAGAATTATTATATTTTTTCAACTAAAGATGAACATTCCTTTCATTTACAGAGACGATTGCTTAAGAAAAAAGCTAAGAAATTAGTCCATGACAATATAATGTAAGAAATTCTGAATTCATCCATTCACTCTCCTTCGGCTTAGTCCTTATCAGAGGTCGACACAGTGGAATGAACCGCCAACTTATCCAGCATATGTTTTACATAGCACATGCTCTTTCAGCTGCAACGCTGTACTGGGAAGCACCTATACACTCTTGCATTCACACACACACACACACACACACACACACACACACACACACACACACACACACACACACACACACACACACACACACACACACACACACACACACACACACACACACTCATACACTAAAGCCAATGTAGTTCATCAATTCCCCTATAGCGCATGTGTTTGGACTGTAGGGGAAGCTGGAGCACCCGGGGGAAACCCACGCCAACACGGGGAGCAAAACTGCAAACTCCACACAGAAACACCAGTTGACCCAGACGGGACTCAAACCAGTGACTTTCTTGCAGTGAGGTGACAGCATTAACCACTGAGCCACCATGACGCCATTCTGAATTTAATTACTGTTAATTAATAATTGGCATATATTTGTAATTCAGATATTTTGTTTATATATTATACTTGTTAGACAAAAGCTGGTAGACAACTAGCAAAGGTGTTGCTAGACAAAGTTCTTCTGGGACACAGCCTCCTTAAAAAAAATTAAAAATAAAAATAAAATATATATATATATATATTAGGGGTGTCAAAATTAATAGTTTCTTCGGTGCACTGCGATGCAGATGCGGACACTTCAGTATGGGTTCAGTAAAAATCATAACCGGTTATTATGTACTGACTCTCATTTGCTCTCTGTCGCGAGCGAGGCGAGTGTGGGTATTTACAACACTCCAGGAGCAAACTACTTAAAAATGCCGAAAGTGTGCACAATTTCACTGCGTGTGTGTGTGTGTGTTTTCTGGACAATCTTTAATGACACTTACAGCAGATGCCCCTATTTCACTGCGATTGAGGGAATGAAAGTGAACTCTCTCTCTCTCTCTCTCTCTCTCTCTCTTTCTCTCTCACTGTGGCCTATTTCACCTGCTGACGTGACTCACGTTTCCTCCCCTCTCTTTTCCTATCAGCTGTTACAACGATACTTCTGGAAATAGGTCTGCATACCTGACCAGAAATCATGTGGCGCGGGAATAAATTTCCAAATAAAAGGAAGTTATTAATAAAAGACAGTATTATTATAATTATTATTATACAATTATTATTCTGAATAAATAACAGAAATTAATCCAAAATGTAACTGGAAAGCAATCTAAGGACACAACTGAAGTGATGCTGAGATAATTTAAGAAATCTTTTGCATGACTATTAATTTTATAAGAATTAAATTTTATAGATGATTCAATTAAATAAATAAAAAAGATGTTACATAGATTTATCTGTTGTGTGTAGTCTTAGACCTGACTCATGACTGAGAATTAGCTTTATTAAGTCGAACCTCCCTGACTTCATCAGGAGCCATGCTTAGCTTAAATTAGATCACCATCATACTATTCAAACTGTTTTGTCGACATGCAAAACTCCTCCACATAAGAGACGCCGGTTTCACAACACATGAGCAGCGCGGCTATTTTTTTGGCGTGCATGTTCAGAACCGGGAGCAGAGCAGCGCGGCAGCGCCAAGCAGGAGCGGCGCATGAGGCGCAGGTATTGAAGGTTTTATTTGATAACTGCACGTGTATGGAATCAGATAAGTCTCAAAAGAAATTCACGCAAAAGACACGATGTACACATGCGTAGCCAAATTCACGTGCATAAAACCAAATTCACGTGCGTAAAATATTAATTTTTATTCACCAAAAATGTCACGTGCACAAAATAAAAATACATTTTCAGAAAATACGTTTCACAAATGCAAAACACCATTTGCAAATGTATAAAGCCTGATTTATACTTCTGCGTCAGGTGACCGGCGTAACCCACGGCGCAGGCAACGCGCGTGGCTGTGCATTTATACTTCTGCTGGTGTCTCTGTTGGTCTGCATTAACACTTCCGAAACGCTAGTTGGCAGTGAGGTGTAAATGTTCCTCTGTGTCAAGTTTCTTCGCTACTTTTTTGCATTTCCTGAACACTTCCGGGATGTACAAGTGGCTCAAACTCGCTCATTTTGAGGCAGGAACCGGCGGACGTGCAACAACTTTAACTATGAGGTAAACACAAAACAAAACTTTCCATCCGGAGCTCCTTCACGGGACTCCACACTAGTAAACAATCGCTCGCGCGGCGTCGCGCCATTCGCGCGCCTCTCGGTCCCGCCCAGACTCGTCAGCGCTACCAAGCCGACCAATCACAGAGCTTATGCTACGCGTCGTTGCGACGTGTAGTTACATTTTTTGAGAGGTGCACGTCAGTGACGGCGATGGCCACGGCGAAGGGCTATGCGTCAGCGCCGTAGCATACGCCGGTGTTTGACGCAGAAGTATAAATCAGGCTTGAGAGTGTACAAAAAGTTTTGAATGTTTAAAACTTGCGAGTTCATCCTGAATGAGAAACTCCTCTTTCACGTACGACTCCCCCTGGATACGTGTGTGTATTTTTGAGACTTTCCTGAAACTGAAAAAAAAGATATTTACCCAGGTGAGGATCTTTATTTTTTTCAGTTTTATTCAGTTTCTAATGACACTATCACGTCTTTTTCAAGAAAACAGCTGCTTTAGAACTTTAAATGTTCAACAACCTTACAGTTTTATATGTCTTAACAATAAAAATGAAAAAAAAAAAAAGAAAAGAAATCAACTTAGGCGAGGTTCGAACACGGGTTTAGAGCAGTGGTTCCCAACCTTTTTCTTAGGGGCCCCCCCATGAACATATACAA